TATTTACAGGTGGTGTAATTCCCTAAGAAATGGAAAGTTGACATAGCAGTCCCTGCTGACAGAAGGTTGGGCAGGGAGTGCCTGTTGTTGAACTTAACTTGGTAGCCTGGTTAAAAAAAAGTTGGCTTTTTGTTTGTTTGTTTTTTCTTTCCTGGATTCATGAGTTACTGACAGAGGGCAGTGGTCAGGTCCCCAAGAGGCATATGGAATAAGGGTGAGGGAGAATAACTTGCTGTTGGAAACAGTGAGGTCTCACTCCTAAATTCAGTAGATTAGCTTGCTTGCAACTGCATCTGGATGTGTTATTTCCCTTTCACTATCTAAGAAATATTTTTGAAGTAAAGAAATATTTTTGAAGTACTTGCCATATTCTGTGTACATTGTCAATTACCTCTTCCTATGACTAGGATCCAATATTGTTTTCTGGCTCTCTGCGTATGAATCTTGATCCTTTTGACCAACACTCTGATGAAGACATTTGGAGGTCTTTGGAATTGGCTCACCTGAAAAACTTTGTGTCGTCCCTTCCTGATAAACTTAATCATGAGTGTGCTGAAGGGGGTGAGAACCTCAGGTATGTCAAAGAACTGTGCTTGTGAAAATTGCCTTAAGAACTAAGTGAGAACTGAGAGGGTGTGTGCCCTCCTATCTGCAACTAGACTTTCCATTTCCAGAAACTGTACAGCTCACCTGGGACAGTATGTAGCTAGACCCTAGCAGTAACAATGCAGTGTGGGGCTCCCCCCACCCTGGATGAGAATTTGGGGAGGGAGTTGGGGAATTCTTAATGCATGACCAGGCAACCAACCAACTAGATTTTATTCAACATGTTTTAAACTCTCAAGTTTGGGAATTTAAAGTAATACAAGAAATATTCAGAATGCTGTGAGGTTTGACAGCCTGGGCAGTCTTGGGAAGGATTTTGGTAGCAGCAGCCTGCTATTTTTAGTGGATGCTCTGAACTTACCAAGGCTCTTGTTTGACAGATGCAATTTTTCTAAGGGAGTTGTTAGCTTGCTTTTTGCACCATAATGGGTATATGTTCAGTCTGTAGAAGCCATTTAAAGTCCAGTCCTCAACACTGCATCATTGATTCAGTGAATAAGCCTGATGCAGTTATGCTGAAACCATTTGTCATGTATTCTCTTACTATGCTGCCAGGAATTCATTGTGAGGGGGATGTATTTTCAGATGCTGTTAAATATTCTGCAGTGAAGTAGTAAGACCGACCTTACCTATTTTTCTGGGTTCTTGGTACCTATACTTGAGAAGGAGGAATTGCTAGGCTTCAAAATGAATACTGCAAACTTGATCTGACTTCTTTCCCCACCCTCCTGTCCAATCTGCGTAGTGTGGGACAGCGCCAGCTGGTGTGCCTGGCACGAGCTCTGCTCAGGAAGTCCAAAATCCTGGTTCTGGATGAAGCCACAGCTGCTGTTGATCTTGAAACAGATAAGCTTATACAATCAACAATAAAGTCTCAATTTGAAGAATGTACTGTATTAACTATAGCACATCGTCTGAACACAATCATGGACTACACAAGGTAAAGTAATACCACTTTTATCTTGAATGGTGTGTGTGTGACCTGCATTGTGCCCTACTTAAATGAGCATCTTTGTTAGCTAAATGTTTACCAGTGCATTTTTAGCCACCTCTCTGCAGAGCTGCTGGAATCCCTGCTTTGATGGGTGGCATGTCTGTGTGTCTCTGTGTGTGTGTTCTAGCTTGCTGTGGCTGTGCTTGGCCTGGGGAGCTCCTCTTGATCCTTCTGTTGCACTGCTGTTCCTTCCCGGGCAAACTAGAAGGGGAGGGAGGTGAGGATTGGAGTCTATTCTTGGGTCTTGCCCTAATTTAGGCACAGCTGAAAGATGCATCAGAGCTTTAGGGAGCTCATACCGTAAACTAGGCATAGACAGTGTAAGGATTCAAAGGGGCGGGTCCCGCAACTTCTCTGACGTTTACTCAGCGTTTCTTTCTATCACTTTTTTGGTTGTAGTTCATACAGCATCCCTCATTCTCAGCTGCCTTACTTATATACACTTATATATATATACTTTTACACATATATATGTGTGTGTATATATATATACACATATATATATAGAAAACTTCAGTTTTAAGCTCTCTTGTGCTTTTTATCAGAGAATGGCAGAGCGCAAAGTGATCAGTAATAAGATTTTAGTGTACTTTTGTAGACCTCTGTCTGTCAGTAGCGAAAGATAAGAGGCAGGAACATTGCCTGTGCTAGACCCAGCGCCAGCAGTACTGTCACCAGAGGAACACCCAGCTCGCTTGCAGCAGCGGGAAGCACCGTGCGGCACCACCTGCTGAGGGCTTAGTGAGCGTCTCTGCAGCGCCTGCCCAATTAGTGGAGGTAGCTGAAGGCAGTGTTTTCACTGTGAGCTGACTTCACTGACTGTGGAAACTTGCTTTGTAAACTTCCTAATTCCAGTTGTGTGGTTTTTTTGTGTAAGTTATGCCTGCGTGTGTTTTGTCAGCAGAAGCGGTGTAACAGCAGTTGCTGTAGTGCAGTATTATGGGCAGGTTATCCCAGGTCTTGCAAGGTCTTAGGGGCTGTCACTCACCTTGACAAGAAGTGCTTGCCATCTAGTTTCTGGCACAGTCAACAGTCTCATGGCTGCCTGCATGTGATGGGTAAACATGTGTTACATAAAAAAATAGACCAGACAGGCCATCTGCAATGAGGTCAGGAGGGACAGAGTTGAGAACCTGTGTTCATTTGTACAGTCTGGGCTGTCTTTGCCTGCATGTAATGGCTATGCTACACTCAGTTTCTGTCTGTACATATACATGTGTTCATTGGCTTTCTGGATCTTCTTGTAACTGTTGGGTGTTTTTTTGTGTGTGGTTTGTTTTTTTTGTGTGTTTTTTTGTTTGTTTCTTTTGTTTTGTTTTACAGAGTTTTAGTCCTGGACAGAGGAGAAGTGGTGGAGTGTGGTAGCCCAGACCACCTACTTCAGGAAAAAGGCATTTTCTATAGCATGGCCAAAGATTCAGGCTTGGTGTAGCATTTGAACTTGGTTAGTTCGTGTGGGGAAGAGGGAGGGGGATACATTCAAAGAACTGTAACTTTCCCTGAGCTGATGTGAACTGTACAGTTCAGTTTCAGACCTAGTGAAGTGAGCCAGAGTATGGCGATGAAAGTAACAGAAAAATGCAATTTTTTTTTTTATCCTCCTTAGTATTGATTTTAGCCAGCCTTAGGAGAAGCACGTATACTGTGCAAAACACTTCAGAGATTTTTAATTTTTGCCTGAAATCTGTCATTATGTTCTCAAATGTAAGGCAGAGTGATTCATCAGAGAAGTTCAGAGAAGCTTTTTCTTTTCATCTGCTTTTATGTTCTGAAGCCCTCTTTTTTTTGTTTAAAACATTTTTGCAAATGCTAGTTATTTGCTTGTTTGCTGATTCCTCATTTGATGAGCCATCTATTGTGGGATGCACTTGGAACATTTTGTGGCATATAATACTATAGTCCAAAGATTTTTCTTCTTGTGAAATAACATGTGTGCCAGACTTTCTCATTATGGCATTTACTGTACATGGGTAATGCTTTTATGCATTCTCCTAAAAGGGTTTCATGTGTTTACAGTGTATAGCAGCAAGTTCACTGTAGTGTGTCAGTAGTGCTGATGTGAAAAAGCACAGTCAACTTCAAAGCAGTATTTAAGCATGTCTAGAACTCAACGGTCACTCCAAAAGCAAATTCGTGCAGCCGTTGATGTTATACAGTACCTGATCTTGCACCCGCTTCACTCGGGCGTTCCTACTCAGGTGGCGAATCCTGGTTACGCCTGTGGGGACTAGGCTGAGAAGTGAGGATTTGCCGGAGTGGAGGCTGCAGGCTCGGCGTGACATTGATTGTAATACCCTTGGCTTTGGCAGTTCTGTGCTTTAATAGAAGTTCTGCCACATCAAGGACCATTAGCCTTATACCGAAGAAACATGCCCTTCATGCTGCTGCTGTTGACTCTTAAATTTTGTGGGAAACTGTTCTGTTACAGTTTTTTAAAAAAAAAAAAAAAAAAAGCTTTACTGTTTTTAAAATTCTGTGTCAGAGGGGTCTCACAATTCAATTAGCAATGAAGTCTGGTTTTCAAGATCCATGTTGAATGTTCAGTTTTCTGTGGGAAGAAAAAAAGTTACTTTTCTCATGTTCTGATTAGTCTTACTTTAAAGGAAAATGCTGGAAGGAGGCAAACTAAGTCAGACGAACCCAAATACTCAGCACTCTGGGAATGTGGACTTCTGTGAATGATATTGCTGACTTTAATACTAGACAATTCTCTTCTTTAGAGTAAAACTATTTATTTTTTTGTAAATTATGACTCTCTGAAATTGAATAGACTGAAATTTTCTTTGGTGTTTTTTTTGTAATGACTATGCAAATATTTGCAAAGAACTTGCAGTAAAAAAACTGTTTGAAAGATAACACGATGTGTCATTTCTTGCTTTGTATTTGACAAACGGTTAGCTTCGTCAGCCTTGAAAATAGAAATTACTGGTACTGCTTAGACTAGCCAGGCTGCTAGGCCTGATGGAGGCGGGGGGGGGCGGCATGTTAGTGTTGGTAAGAAACCCAGAGTGGAAATACCCCTGTGCTGTGGTAGGGCTGGATCACATCTCATGGTTTCCCCTGTAATTTGAGTACCACAGTTTGTTGAGCAGCCCCAGGTAATAACGATGGATCAGTAGAGGATTCAGCGGTGCTGTGGGCCTTTGTCATACCCATGGTGTCTATGGCCTATGTCTGCTGCATTTCCTGGGCTGTTTGGTGTTAACTTCCCCTGTGGAAATGGAAAATGTTTGCAGTGGAGTTGTCTATGTAGGAATGACTTAAACTGCGTTTGCAATATCAAACTGGGTACACTGGAAAGTGTCACTAGATGTTCTCTGTCTATTCATGGGCTGTTTGTCATCAGTTGGGGAACTGTGTGTCCAAAATGTTGTATTTTGCAGGATAACCTTCTAAATAGTGCAGCAAGGCATCAGAAGACAGCTCTTTGTGTGTGCTTCAGCCTTGTTCTTTTTCAATAATGTAGTTATTAACATGAATCACTGTGTTTGCCCAGTTTTATGTATTTATATGCTTGCTAGCACAAACTGTTCTGCCCCAGCTCTGGAGTAGATACTCTTTTTCTCTTTGCCCTAAATACCAAATGTGCTGTTGCTGCATTGATTCCTGATCCTGATTCCGAAAGTCTTTCCTTGTAAAAATCATGAGTATCTTACCTGGATGTAACTTGAACAAAACTGTATTATGCATGATGAGGATCAGTCTGAACTAACCTTTACTGCACACAGAGCAGCTTTCTTCCCCCAGAACTGATGTGTAGGAACAGTGCCATGTAGGTACTTTGGGGTACCTTGAGGTAGGAGCAGTACAGCTGTGAGATCCTGCTTCAGCTAGGAAAGAGAGGCCATGTACTGATCCCTGCGTGCCATGTTACTGCGACCAACTGCAGAAAATGATACAACTTGCTGCAAGGTGAGGTATTAAAATCTGGCTTTAAAACCAGTAGATTTTCCTTACTTAATCTGTGTTCTTTTTTGTGCGTGTGTTTGGACCTAATGATTATTTAGTACTTGGCACACTTTTGGCACTTCTGGGTAAGTGAAATCCAGCCTGACGGCATGTGACCTCCAATACAAGAGTGGTGCCATCCGGCAGGGCTCAGTGATGCTGCAGCCCGGGGTGATGAGCTGTCCCTCCGGCTGTTTGGGGGAGCACTAGTAAATGCAGGGCTGTGAGACTGAATTCCAGCAGCTGAGCTCAGAGTCACGTAGCAGAGACCTATTTTCTTTGAATGCCTTGACGTCACACATTTTCCTTTATGCAGCAGAGCTAATGCCGGCTCTGAAAGACAGCATCTGGGACAGGAGGTGGGAAATGTAGCGGGAGCGTGTACTGCAGTGAGCAGCTGAGTCCTCGGGAAGGAGATGAGCTGGGCACCTTCATCCAGCTGCTGCAGAGTGGGGTTTCCCTGAAGTGTATTGCTGTGGCATGTCCTGAGTTCATCCTGTTCTCGTCTTCCAGGTCCCCTCCTGGTGAAGAGATAATTATCTGCCCGCTGGCAGGTTCTTCATAGCAGGTAGTCTTGTGCTTCTGTAGGTGGGAAGGTGCTCACTTCCTACAGAGCATGTAGAAGCCTAGCTTTGTGGTTTTCATCTTGTCTTTTTTTTGTTCTTTTTTGGATAAACATGGTACAACTTCATTTAGATGAGCAGAAAAAATGGAAACCTTATTGAGCTACATTGCTGGCTGTTTATGTGTGTTTTGTGAAAAATTTGCCAAATACCTGTTAGGCCCAAAAGCATGTGGCTAGACTTTACATTCTTGCTCTTACCTAGAGAAAGGCTGTGCCTCTGCAGTTCATTCCGTGCTCTTTGCTCTGTGGACCATTTCTTCTAGTCTTTGACAAGACCCTTACCTTGCAAAGCAAAGCTCTGCTCTTTCTCTCAGACAATTTTGTTCCAGTCTGTTCATTAAAGTGTTTAAGGATCTGTGTCACCAGTTCAGCTCCTGCTGTGCTGTATGTTCTGTCTTACAGCAGTAATGTGTGTGCTACTGCAGCCTATGTGAAGCTAGTGGTGGTGGTGTTAATAAGCATTAATGTATTTATTACAAACATGTTAATACTTATTATGAGTAAAAGAAAACCATTGAATTTACTGTATGGGATTTCAGTGCATGTTGATACATCCTGGCTGACATTATTTGTTGCAACATGGATGATCTCACATCTGGAAGGGCTGATTCTGCTGAAAAAACAGCTCGGGTATTTCAGGAGACTTGCAGATAACACCCTAGTTCTTCATGTGTGTGAATATAGCTACTTCTGCAAAACTGTTCCCAGTCTTGAGACATCTCTGTAGATACCCTTTAGTGGTTCAATTGTAATACAGCACAGAAACAGTTGTGCTCTGGGTCACTGATCCCTTTTAACGTTTTCGCATTGCGGTGCATATTGTGACCATCTAGGGAACCAGGAGTGCAACTTACTACATTTTTGGCATTAACTTGGTGTAAATCAATGCACACCACCTTCATTCCTATTTTCTAGCTGTGGCAATTTTAGTGTTACCTTAAACTTGGAATCTTTGGACAATCTTTTTTTAGGTCATTTTTCTCTCCTGTGTATGCTATGCTTTCACTTCGTGTGAGATAGCTTTAAATGAGGAGGAAAAAGGAAAGGGGGGGGGGAATAACTTGGAATTAAAAGCCCTAATTCTTAATGTTCAGATTGGACAGACAACTGAAACAGTGAAAGTTTTATAGCACTAATTAAGCTTTTGGCCCATTTCATATGATTGCATGGGAGTCCTATACTGGCTCAACTGGTAGAGCAGGCGGCCTATGCGGAGTGGGTGGCTTCGTGAGGATGAAATGCTGCCACGCATAGGTGCTCCAGCGGGGCTGTCTCCCAGGGGCTGCGTAGGGGCGACGCTTGCTGGCTCCCAACCCCTGGTCTGGGTTCTGTCTTCACTGCCAGTGGCCTGTTCACCTCAGGCGGGAACACAGCTCAGCCCGCCTGGCCGAGAGGGTGCTTGGAAATACAGGTTCTCCCACAGAAACACGAGGACATCCTGAGTTCTTGCTGTGGTCTAGATAAAAACTTGTTTTATCCTCTAGAGTCCCTGCTGGACCTAGAGTAACACCTGTTTTGCTCCAAAGAGAAAAACAGAACTGGAAAGCCACTAAGATGTCAATAAACCCTCTTTAGACTAGTAGATTTTATTTGGACTCTGAGTGGGTAGCTAAAGCTGAGCTGCTCTCCATATGTGGCACTTATGCTGCACACCAGCTATTAAAAATTAATGCTGCAAAAATGTAGATGGGACAAGTCCAGGTGCTACTTTTGAGCAGCTCTAGACATTCAGATTCTGGAGGTGTTGGACAGATTTTTGTTTTTTAACATTTAAAATTTCTTTAAAGCAACTTACGAAATAGGCTGTTAGCATAGTTCTGAGCCCGCTGTAGTTACCTCCTGTGCTAATTGTGTAACTCAATCAAATAGGCTAGGAGGAAGTACCTTTGCGAAGACCCAGCAGACCTGTCCTTTCAAACAAACACCGCTTTCTGTTCCTTAAACCAGATTTTCAAGAGAGGATGGTATCGCCAAGCATTAATTCCTGTATATATTTTGCTTTAACTAACTTCCAGATAACTTCCTTGAGATGACTATTACCTTTTTTGTGAGACTTGAGCTC